CTGTCAGGTAGGAAGGAAGGAAGGAAGGAAGGAAGGAAGGAAGGAAGGAAGGAAGGAAGGAAGGAAGGAAGGAAGGAAGGAAGGAAGGAAGGAAGGAACTATCTACCCAAATAGATCATTCTTCCTCTTCTACCTACTGTAGCTAGATGGAAGGAAGGAAGGAAGGAAGGAAGGAAGGAAGGAAGGAAGGAAGGAAGGAAGGAAGGAAGGAAGGTTAAATATCCAATTATTCACCCAGGATTGTTCTATCCTTAATCCAAACAAATTTCTTTGATACCCCCAAATGAGAAAGAGAAATCAATGAAAGTTCACATATATTTAAAATGTGGTGGTGGTGATAATCCAGAACCTGGTGGCAGTAGGAAGGAGAAATGTCAACAAAATACCAGAGTTGGAAGGGACCTTGGAGGTCATCTAGTCCAACCCCCTGCTCAGGCAGGAAACCCAATACCATTTCGGACAAATGGCTGTCCAGTCTCTTCTTAAAAACTTCCAGTGTTGGTAGCATTCACCGCTTCTGGAGGCAGGTTGTTCCACCGTTTAATTGTTCTAACTGTCAGGAAGTTTCTCCATAGTTCTAGGTTGCTTCTCTCTTTGGTTAGTTTCCATCCGTGGCTTCTTGTCCTGCCTTCAGGCGCTTTAGAGAAGAGCTTGACTCCCTCTTCTTTATGGCAGCCCCTGAGATACTGGAACACGGCTATCATGTCCCCCCTCATCCTTCTCTTCGTTAGACTTTCATCTTTCATGAAGTGGGGTGCTGTGGAAGTTGCCGGCCTCCAGAGAGAAGTTGGTGTAGGGTTAAGGACAATAATGGCATTGGAATTTCTGTCACTAAGTGATGCGGTTTTAAAGCTTGACCTCAAGTGTCCACATCACCTAACAGTGACAATCCTGGCAGTCTCAGTTGCAGTCATTAACTGAATCCCACTGGTTGTTAAGTGAGGACCCAAGGCATTCCCAGTTTGGTCCCTCCCATCCCTGAACCTTGGTAAGGTAAGGGACTACTTCCTCTTTAACTCCTTCCATCCACCTCTCTCAAGTTCCTCTGTTTTTCTATCTGATTGTCCGAATGCTTAAAAATGTCATTCAAATTTCCTTGCTGATGCAAGCTTCCTGACTTGACAAAACATGCTACAGCTACTCCTCCAATTTTTTGTGTGACACGTCTGCCTTCTGCAACCTTCCTGGCTGTCCACACTTCACAGTCTGAAGAAACACAACAGGAATGAAAAATCTCCTTCCTGGTAAGATTGCGAAGAAGGAAGTGGAGCCGGAAAAGTTGCAGTGTGCCGGAGGGATGATTGTGCGATGAAATAAATAAACATTCACACCCATTCTTCGGCGATTTCATAACTAAAGTAAGCTGCAAAAATACGTTGCCCGTCTGCGAATTTCTCCCCAAATGTTCTTTTGGACTGTGAAAAAAAGATCTGTGAAATTTAATCTAACAGTTTAAAAAAAAACATAAAATAAAGCCAGAACAGAACAAACTGTAGAAACGAAACTAATTTTATCCTGTTGTTTTCATGAAACCTGTTGCAAAGGGTGAGTTTTTAACCTCCTGTAGTGAAAATATTTCTCAAATCTATCAGCTTGGAATGGAGCGATGCATGTATGTGTAGGTAGGGGAAGAGGTAGATTCCTAAGCCAGGAAGAAACACAACACCCATCTTCAATTTGCTGCCTTGCCTTCGGCATCTCCTGGACCACCAATAATTGCCAAGTTTCATTTTACAGCACTGGGGCAGATTCCTATCTTGAGGATACGATGAGCAGCAAAGTTGGTTAAAGATCTATGATCTTTGTTGTTTGTTCTGGAGACAAAATATCTCCGCACCCCACTGCCTGGGGTATAGGATGAAAGTTGCTATTTATTCTACAGGTAGAGAAAATTCCAGCAGATCACTCTTGGATTTTGAAGTTTTTGACCCCAAATATGGTGGCAACAGCATTTTGTTTTCATTAGAGGTTAGGCCAATATTAATTGTGTTCATGCAATACATTTACTCCGAGTTACCAAATTCACTCTTTTTGTGGGATGCCACAATGCATTAAGCCATAAACTAATCAAAGGGGCTGAATTGACACAACCTGCTAAACCACACAAATAATAAGTAAGTTTAACATTAAACTAAGCTTTAGTATGTTGTGTGAATGACTCTGCTAGAGAACTGCACTTGGCCTGGTTAAACCTATTGTGTGAACATAACTTCTATCTTCCTTCCAAATTCGAGGCAACTGATTTGGAACTGATAATGCATGTTGAATGAAAGAAAGGGAAAGGGAAGACAATTCAAAGATCAGCCAATAAAAGTCATGACTGACCAGCAACTGGATTCAGATCTATGTGCAACCAATGTTACCCTTTGAGGAATCCTGGCTTGTCAAAAGTTAGTTGTGCACTATATTCTAGTCATTGTATCAACCAGCATAGAATGCTGGGAGACAGTCTTCTGTAGACGTATTTTCCTATTAATTCAAAATTAATTGTATTAATAAGAGAAAACACTTTACCTTTGTACTCAGGCAGTGTTGTTCAGAATCTTTCAGCTTTTAAGGAACTTTGTTCATATGGCTTTATCTCTCAGAATATGCTCGAAGCCTCCGTTACAGAATATCTGTATTGTAGACCGTGCTATGATGGATCCAAGGGAAGATGCTTATGGTATGTACTGGCAAAAACTGCAGATTCTGGATCAGAGTTTCTCAAAGTTGACAACTTTAAGATGTGGGAAGTTCAACTCCCACAGTTCCCCATCAACACACTGGCTGGAGAATTCTGGGAGTTGATGTCCATACATCTTAAATTGCCAAGGTTGAGAAATACTCTTGTAGACCATAAGTGAAGGAACCGTCATGTATTAACTAGTGGTCAGCATTGAGTTAGGTGGTCGCTAGGCATGCAGATAAGTGTGGAATGAGAGTGAAAGTCCATGTAATGAAACCTCTTTCTTTATTTCAGCTTTCCAAGATGTCCATGTGATGATTTTCGTGGGCTTTGGCTTCCTCATGACCTTTCTTCAACGCTATGGCTTTGGCGGTGTTGGCTTCAACTTTCTCCTCGCTGCCTTTGGGATCCAGTGGGCTCTCCTGATGCAGGGCTGGCTCCATACCTTTCAGCATGGGAAGATACTCATTGGAGTGGAAAGGTACGATGGCATGCTTGGACATACAAAGAAAGAGTTTCTGGGTAGTAGGATACATGACAGGCATGAAACTATAACGAAGGTAGATTAAATTTGTGGCTTAGGAATGCAAAGATGTGCATTAGTGGGGCCGTGGTGGTGTAGTGGTTGGAATGCAGTACTGCAGGTTATTTCTGCTGACTGCCGACTGCCAGCAGTTTGGCAGTTCGAGTCTCACTGGCTCAAGGTTGACTCTGCCTTCCATCCTTCTGAGGTTGGTAAAATGAGGACCCAGTTGTTAGGGGCAATATGCTGACTTAGAGAGGGCTATAAAGCACTGTGAAGTGGTATATAAGTCTAAGTGCTAATGCTGTTGATGTAGTTTGAGCTCAGCTCAGAATATAGGTATTGGGACCTGCAAGCCCATGCTGCCCTACCCTACTACAAGCTAAGACCATTATTGTAAATGTTGCACTTTGGATGATGGAAAACGTCCATCAGATCAAAGCTTCTGGGCGGCCCTCTTTGACAAATTGGAAGAGTACTATTAGATTCCTTGTCAGTCATCCCAAAGCTAAACAAATTAATTTCTTCCATCCTCATTGTTCTGATTTGACCCTTTCCCAATTTGCTGGAATACTTTTTAGCAAAGAAAAGAATAGATTTGGGACTTTCCATGATTTAGAAATTCACCATCTCTTGTTGCAACCTAATTGGATGATCCAAAAGTCTAGGTTAGGGACAGATCACAGTGGACAAAATCTACCTATGTCATTCCCAAGGGTCAACCATGACTCCAAGGGCATATAATCAAACTGTATGTGTCATTTTTGTAGTCATGTCTCACTGCTGATTCATGTGATCAGCTACAATTCCAAGATGCTCATTGTTGTGTTGCTTCAGTAGCCTTCTCTGACTCCCTTATCTCTTCCTTCTCCTCTCAGCCTGATTAATGCAGATTTCTGCGTGGGTTCTGTTTGTATCGCCTTCGGTGCCATTTTGGGCAAAGTCAGTCCCGTCCAGCTCCTCATTATGACACTGTTTCAAGTGACCCTCTTCTCCGTCAATGAATATATCCTGCTTGATCTGCTCCATGTAAGGTTCTTCACATTCAGAAATG